CACGAGCTTCGACATGTATTACTACAGGAATGGGCGCTACTGTCACAACAAGCGATCAGCGACACTTTTGTCATCTTGCCTCGCCATTGTCAAGCATCTATTTCAGCTAAAGAGTATCATACCCGTTACTAGCGTGATATTTCCATTGCACATTCTTCCGAACCATTTGGTCTTTCGCAATGTGATTGTCGTAATACATTTGCTTTTGTACGTCTTTGCTTTATTGTTTGTTGTGTGGTGTAGCAATGCCACACCAACCTCTTGGATCAATTTCACCCATATCCTTGAAATTGTTTTTGATTTACTCCGTGTTTTGCCTTTGCTTATTTTTTTTAGCAGGAGTGTTAGTATTATTGCCCGTGAAACTTTTTTTCTATTAAATGGCATCGGTTCTATCGTCATGCGTTTGGAAATTTTAACGGCATTTCTATGCTAATAGCTAAAAGCAGTAGAGCAGAAGCAAAATTCTGTAGTACCTATCCTTCATAGTTTTATATTAATTAAAAGTTTTCTATTTTATAAACCTCCCTCCTAATAAGTGTCTTTGATTTTTAAGCCCAGTTTTTATGAATAATTTTTTTAATTTATAAAAATTTTACAAAGTGTTATAAACTTTCAGTCCTCATTATTTTTGTTTTTGTCTAAGTATTTATATATACATACTCTACATTACAATTTCAAAGGATTGAAATTAAATTTAATTGTTGTCATATTATCTATTTTAAACGTATAATAAGCATTTGAATTTAAATTTTGAGAAGGAATTGAATTAAGATACATTACAAGAAAAGAAAGCAATAAATTACTTAGTGCTCCAAATGATTCTCAATGTAATATTTTGTAAAGTGAGGTTAGTAAATCCGTTCTTTTAATAAGAGATTATTTTGGTATATATCATTTTTAATTAAATATGTATCTTCATCTCCATTTGAAAAGAAAATAGGTAAGATTCGATATAGTCATTATTATACCGTCATCAAATTTTCTTTTGCCTGTTAGAAGTTAAAAATTATTTTAAGGTATAAGAAAAACTTCTTTTCCTTTTAAAATGTTGCATTCCAAAATTTAGAATATGTTAACATGCTACATTACAGAGATATGACCAATGTTCCAAGCAGTGTCTTTTGAAAGATAAACGATGAATAGAGTCCTTGGTACCACTCTCTGAGATGTCAAAAGCGACGGCAGACGAACACCCTAATCTATTTCCGGCTCTTTATCCTTCTGAGAATCTCAAACACCAGACGAAGATGCCTATCACAGAAATCGTCACTTTTTCAAAACACCTCTTTTCACCTGCTTGGTTCAATCTGCACTCACCGCTTTAAGCCTGTAAACTGCGAAGAGTGACAAGAAAAGGACGACTACATGTTTAACAGGAAAACGTAATCAAAATTAATTGGTACTTAAAATGTTTTACAGTATAGAATGTAACAATTTTAGGATATTTAAAGCATTAAGCGGGTTAAGTATTTAATTTCAACGATGATGATGGCGAATTAATCTTTTATAACCCTGATTAAAATTGTACGATCTACATATCTAATTTAATGATGATTATCTCTCTATGTAATGTAAAATATTTTTGTTCCATACACTTTTATATTATTCTTTCTTTAAAATGAGAAACCTATTGTAATTTTGAGAATTAAATAATTTAGCAAATAATATTTGTAATGAATTGAACGAAAAAATAAAAATAAGTTTTCACATATTTACATTATTCTAAATGAATTAAACACTTTTTCATGCATTAATATGAATAACTTTCATATATTAATATGAATTCTTTCTACACAGATGATCTCAACCTATCACATCATTATCCTCGAATTTCCACAGCTCCTGTTTAAGAGACCCTTCCCAAATCTTTAGTACTGGTTTGAAATTATTTGCCTTTATGTTTCGTTATGCTAATTATCTATTCGTTTTTAGCTTCCCGGTAAATTACACATACAATGGAGTGAGAAAATCCCGAAGATCAATGTGAAAAACTTGGATAAAAGCCCACACTGATAAAAAAAACCACACTGAAAATAGTTAATACTGACAAAACCCCCACACAGATAAAGTCATGTAGAAGAACCCAGTATTTTTAGAAAGGAATATACAGATAAAAAAGATCAAATGCTCTTTTTTGTGTAACACACATATAAGAAGGATCAAATTTGCTTTAAAATATTCACATTATTTTGCATTTTCGGATATGACTGTTAGAAATTTCGACTTATTCATTGTGGGTAGACATTAAAACGAAAAATATTTATCATCAGAGACTGTTTTCTTCAGAGAAATTTATTTCTTTCCAGAAACTTGTTTTTTCATCACAGACTTTCTCTTAGAAATCAACAGAATTTTCAGACTTTTTTCTCAGAAGATTGTTTATGTATTTCAGATTGGCTTTATGTTGCATACTAAAATTTATATTATATTTCAATAATTTCAGTGGCTTCAGAATTACTTAATAAAACTTAATCACACCTGTTAAGCAAATGAAATTGATATACATGCAATATACACTATAACGAAGAAATGATGATGCGTGGAAGTACCGTAGTTGAATCCAAGAACGTAACAGGTGAATGAACGAATTCGTTGATTATGTTTTAATTTAAACTAAGTAGAAACATTTTGTTTCCTGGGCTGGCAACAAGACAACTAAGTTTCAGTTTGCTCAGTAAATTCTTTAAAAGCTAAACTGAAGCAGCACAATATTTTGTTTTCACATAATTATTAAACCTAATTCTATTTTTAATACATTAAACTAAAAAAATAGTTGAATTGTTGTTTATAAAAGAATGAGAGTACAATTTTCAACAAGAGTATTTTCATGCATAACTTACCTTTTCCACTGGCTATCACAAAGCTCCAAATATTTTACTTTCATAGAGTTACAAAATTTTTACTCGCATTTTTCCGCGTTAGAGTAAATTTTCTGAAAAAATTATTTCGTCATGCTTAAAGTTAATTTCGAAGTGATTTTCACAAAAAAGAACTCCTAAACATTTGTAGTTTAATTTCCTTCCTGTTAACGTATCGTAAAAATATATCAGTAGTGACGAGAAACATTTTTAATTGAAATCATTTAAATGTAAAATTTTTTCATAATATTTACTTTTTTAATCGTTTATATTTATAATAGTTTTTACAAAATATATTTAAATTTTATATGTATTTGAAAATACTTTAAATTTTTTATTTGAAGTTTTATGAAATTCTTAATTTTATGTAACATTTTTCATGTGATTTAATATATTATCAGATAAGAAATTTTGAGGAAAACAGAAAAAATTTTGTGGAAAATACCCTACCCCTGACTTATTATCTATGAATTTTAAAAGTGAAAATTTGAATTAAAAATTCATTCCAGTGGAAATGAATTTCTATCTTTAAATTCCTAAAATCTAAAACTTTTCGGTTTTCTAAAATTTCTTAATTAAAATATACATTTTACATAAAAGAAATGCTTTTTTTTTTTTTGCTTTCATAATAAATGTCGTAAAATTAATTTAATCTTTTAATTAACTTCTTTCACAAGCCTTTCCCTTAATACTTTTACTAAAAACTTTGCTGTCAAATATAATTTTAGAAAGAAAAGTAACTATGCAAAATCCTCTAAACTCAAATGCAGTCTTAAATTTTATATATATGTATGCAACCTTTTTATTACGAAAAACTGCAAAACTTGCGCTAATAATCGTTTGAAGAAACAAAATTAAAAATTAAACTTAATTTTCACACTAAAAAAGTTCTGAAATTTAATTACTCAATGAATTAATTAAATGTTTAATTTACAAATTTTTTTCTCTCTAATGTTATTCCTTATAAAGAGAACAACCTTTTCATATAAGGTTACAAAATTAAATTCATTTAAAGTTCTAAAATTATTTTTAAATAAATTTCTTTTAATATTAAGCACATATTCCAAATAAAAATTTATGAAGTAATATTCATTAACTTTTGATGAAACAACCATTAAAAATATTTTATTTTTTAACTTAAAAATTCTTTTATTCTTTAGAATGCAATAAATTAATTTTTAAATCACAAAAATAAAAATAAATCATGTTAAATTTATAAGAAACACAAACCTAAAAATCAGCGTTTTTCAATATTTAATTATTATAATTGATATAGATTGCAGATTTTTATAATTTTAGGAACCAAAGTGCGCAAAGTACAATTGAATCAGCCATGAAATATTTATAAATAACTTATAGTTTAATAATTATCAATACTTAAATCTGAAAATTCTTTAGTAACTCATTTAATACATTAACTTGGGGAACTACAAGTAAAACAATTATCCTTACAAAGAAAAGTTCAATTTAAAAAAAAATTAAACCATAGTAAAAAGTATTATACTTTCTTAATATTGACTACAGCCACATTAAAAATATCTATAGAATCATAAAAAACAGCGGCTTTAATAATTTAAGATTTCGCTAAAAATATTTACATAAATGATCTGAACCAATATATTATTTCTTAAACAATTTTTTATCTATATGAAATAATAAGCAGTAAAATGTTCATAAAAATTTTAAGGAATTCCATTTTTATTGTGAAATATTTTTCTTTAGTCTGACTCGAAGTGAGAGAAATTAAAATAAAATAAGGAAATAAAAATATTTATAGTAACAAAAATTGTCTCCTATATTTTTAATTAAAATTTATGTAATTGTTAAACTGATAAAATCTTGAATGTTTATCTTTTAAAATGCATTACATTTGATTAATATATGAAAGTTTTTTTATTTATCAGTTTCATTTCTTTCTTCTCTTGATCGTTTTAAAATAATTAAAAAATTTTAAATATTCATTTAAATCATTAAAAATTTTTAGAACAAAATCATTTATTTAAGAGTATTAAAATTTCACTTCAAAACTTTTCCTATCATAGGAAACTCCTTCAAAAAAGTTTTCAAAAGTTTGTAGAAAGCCAAGAAATGTTATAAGATAAAATGTTATTTTTAAGTAGATTAAAAATGTTAAATTACCTGAAGAGATTTTTCCATAGAATAATTCGGAGAAGGATGCAACTGAAATTACTTAAGAATTGTTACTTTTCTTTGTTACATTTAGTTTTAAGTTTTAAACTTGGAAAAAGTTAAGAAAATATACTTGTAGAGAGCAGAAAATTTACTCGTAGACGCGTAGGACATAGGTGCTATTCGCAAGTAACGTGTTAAAAAACTTAGTCCGTTCGCATATAGTCGTGCTCAAAAAGCGCGTGCAGGTCTCTGTGCACCCCCTCTGCTGTTCGGGGAAAGCAAAGGGGGCGAAAATCTCTCAAAAGGGGGATGATGTCGTCCGCCCGTGACGTCGGATTCCTGCCATTGGCTGCTTAGGCGGGGGTGACGTCAGGCGCTTCATAAATATCAAGCGGTCCCGGATCCAGTGCGGAGTTGAGTCAGCAAAAGTTTTCAGCCAAGAGAAGAGAGGAGAACTCCACGCTAACAGAAAATGCTGACTGCTGCGGGACTTTAGCTGCAACCGTGGCGGTTTCTCTTCCCCTTCGCCACGATGATTCGAGACCTCTGCTCGTAGTCTGCTTCGAGAGGGACTTTTATTTTGCTTTTCTCGTGGACTTTTTTTCCCTCTTGTCCCCACACTCCCTGCCTGCTCTTTCTTCTGCCTCTTTACCTCGAGTATCTGACCCCCATATTCGTAGAGGGGGTGGTGGAAATTTCCCAGAAAAGGGCGATATTCAGTGTGGACAGAAAAATGAAACTGTATTTGTTGCCCCACTCTACCCCTCGAAGCCGGAGCTCTTAATTGAGATTATAGTCTGCAACCTCCCTTGTGGGGGGAGAAAGCAGAGTTTGAGCGATCGACGAAAGGAATCAATCGAGCAACCCCCTAATAGGCCTTTCCATCTTGCTTCCAGTCAATGCACTGTAATTTGTGGTATGAATCCTTTCTATTCTGGATTGATTGACTTCCCTTGAAATAAACCGCACTCAAAGACAAAAAAAAAAGAACTATACGAGTGTGACTAAATGTGTTTTCATTGCTGTATTCCTCGAAAACGAACTAATCATTTATAGATATTTTATTAAAACCTGGTTTATTCGTGCCGCTGCATAATGGGCATCTATCACTTGAAATCTTACCAGTCTCTTCTTGGCAGTTCAGGACACTTTCAGAAGGAACTTTCAATGCCTCCTTTCCTTGGACATATTAGCATCATAATTTACTTTACACCAGTATATTTACGCAAAAGGAAAGAGCAATAATTGACGTTTATTTTAATTTTCAAAACAAGCTATATCTTTTAGAAATAGTCAGTATAAGAATCAAGTGAAGATTGTACTTCATTGACCTGAAGTTAGTTTGATGCTGAATGAAGTTGCATGGAATGGAAAACACATCGAAAGAGCACAAATACAAACTGGGTTTCATATTTGAACTTTCAGACTTTTAAAGTTGTAAAAAGGATTCAGGAGAATGTCATGTATTTCATAAATCAAATTTACAGCTCCAAAGAAGAAATATAGCATTTTGACATGTTTTGAATCTATAAATTTAACTCGAGATAAATTATGATAGTTAATGAAGATTCTAAGTTTATATTTAAGGAATAACTTTACCTAACAAAGATTAGACTAATCTAGTGAAAAGTGAAATAGCTGAGAAAAAACTATCTTATAGCTTCGCAATAGATTCAGAAAATTTCCTTTAATACAGTTTTTTCCATTTCCAAAGCCGAAGAATAAAACGTAAAGAACAAATAAATCCTTTTCACTGAATAGTATTGCATTCACATAAAACAATGAATAGGAAGGTTTAGAAAGGGAGGCATCTTCGGTTTATCATTCTCATTTGCCTCCGTTGATACCGACTACCTCCGGCAGAAGAGACTGCCGGCACCTTCCGTCGCCGAGGCCGGCCGGCTGTTCTTTCGACTACGGACGGGGTTTGGGGTCCCCCGGACCCGACGGGGCCGCCCTGCGCTGCTCATTTCACCATGATGGAAGGAACATCAGAGACCATCCCGGCCGTCGATTACGTCCATGAGTTCGATCTTGAACATTTGGAAGAAGTTGTGAAACAGGAGATGCATAGGGCTAAGTATTCTGCAGGTGGAGCTCTTACATCATGTGCAACTCCTCATAATAATATGGGGGGCCAAAATTTAGGAGATCAACCTCAGCATCACCACCACACCCATAATACGCACCCTCATCATCATCAGAATGGAGTTTATGGAATGAATGGAGTAATGGGAACATGTCCTAGAAAACCTGTAGCTTTATCAGCCGCAACTCCTCCAGATACTCCTCCTTGTCACGGTATGCCACCATCTCCAGCTTTTGTGCCACCAGGGGCCACTCAAGGACCTGTCATAGACGATGGTATGCTATGGCTAACGCAAAACCTACGCTATGGTTCTGCAAATGGATCTCAAGATGGACCATTGGATTTAAGGCCGCCCCAGTGTGCTGCTGATATGGAAGCTTGGCTCATAGCAGGTGGGGGAGGAAGGAGAGATTATCCGGAAGTCCAGGGCGTACCACCTACTCCTAGAGGAGGACCCAACCATCACTTAGATCATTCTCACCATCACCTGATGAATGCCACTAATAGCAACAGCAACAGCAGTAGCGGAAGCGGTAGTGGTTGTAGCTCCGTGACATCGTCTACCGTGGTCAATTCTGTCTGCACGCGAGGTGGACAAGGGGGAGCCAGCGACATTCTTAACGACGACCAGCTCATCTCGCTGACTGTCCGGGAGCTCAACAAGAGACTGCATGGTTATCCTCGTGAGGAAGTTGTCCGGATGAAACAGAAACGTCGAACCCTGAAAAATAGGGGCTACGCCCAAAACTGTCGCACTAAACGACTCGCACAGAGACATGAACTTGAGTCTCGTAACAGAATGTTGCAAGGAGAAATGACCAGGTTGAGGCAAGAGTTAGAAAGGGCCTGTCAGGAACGGGATTTCTATAGGCAGCAATTACATGCTCTCAGGGACTGTACTGGTGATCCTAGATCTATGTCTAGTGTTTCTAGTGGAGGAGGAGCCAGCAATCCGAGTTCTCCAGAATTTTACCTTTGACGCCGAAATGCAATGTATTTTAACAGGTTATCTGAAGTATGAAATGCAGTTTGGTAAGTAAGGAACTTGAAGAATTTTTTCCCATAGTCTGGGTGTCAGAAAAATTTCACGTACGAAAATTCCTCGTACGTCTTGCAAGCTAATCTTTTATTGATTGGCAATTTAAGTGACTTGCATAAGGATCTTTTAACTTAAAATATTTTGATTTTCAGTGTCAAAGCCATGTTCAAGAAGGCTTTGAAAACAAACTAAATACCATGATTAATCTAAGAATAATATCATACTTATGTTTAATTGTGATCTATAATTTAAAATAAAAGTTTATTGGAATTCAATATATTAAGAACGTAAATATAGCAATTAAAAGCAATTAAGTCAATCACAGTTAAAAATTTATGTTTGCATTTGGTTAATTTATACATCAGAGTAATGAGATTTAATCATTACTTTCAAATATAATTAAAAATATGTAAATAATTGCATAAATTCCAAAATGATTTTTACTCACTTGATAAAGAATTAATAACAAAGAAATAACATTAACAAAACCAAAATTAGAATTTCAAATGCAATTAGAATTTCTGTTATTATTAATTTTGTGATTAATTAATTAAGGATATCTAAACTTTTTTTTTAAATATTTTGGAAATTTAAATTTTATAGTAGAAAAAATATTTCTGATTTTTTAAGAGATTTAAAAATATTTATTTTTAGGCCATTAAACATCATTATTCTGTTTGAATATAAAACCATTTCAGATTTTTAAAACAGTGCATTAATACTGAATTTATGATACAAGAGCTATTAAAAACTATTACGAGAGTTCTCACCTCAGTATTTTATAGAAACGCCTTTATAATAAAAAAAAAGTAATGGGGCCCCTAGACATCAGTATAAGGCATAATACTTTTATAGGAATTTATACGCAATGTTAAATAACAAAGTGAAAAATAATTTTATTTGAAATCGAATTCATTTTTAATGGAAAAAAATGTGAACATTACTTGGAAGTGTTATTCTTGAGACACATAGTAATAAGCTTGTTAAAATGTGTAACTTTTCTAAATGTATTAATTTATTTCTTATACGTGTTAAAAGCAATTTAAATTTGCAGATTATTTTCCTATGTAGTTTTCTTATGAAATTTTCTTATGTAGTTTTCAAAACTGATTCTTGATTAAATTATAGTTAGAAATATAATAATTGATTTGATGACATTTGAAAGACTTGTTGAATAGTCAACAACATATTTGTTTCCTCTTTTATTTCATGAAACTCCTTTCAAATATATAATTATAATGCATAGTAGTATGATAAACTATTGTTAAAAATGTACTAGAAAGATTTTATACTAGACTACTTTTCATGAAGGTTTTTATTTGTTATTAGGAAAAATAAAAATAAAACTGAAATTTCTTCTTAGGATCGAACGATATCAAATTATTTAGTTAATTTGAATTAGTAAATTTGAATCTTTTTGCTTAAATTTTTAATCTTATGAAAAAAATGTTATTTTAATTTGCAAAGACAAGCAATATTTATATAAATAGTTGCAATTAAAAATAGGAGTTTTGTGTCTCATTTACAGAATAAAAATATGCCAAAGTACTTTTGAATGCAAGTGTCAAACAGTATTTACAAATATATGTTTTAAAGTCTTATTTACAGACATACAGGTATGAAATTACAGACTTTGTAAACATGTGCTGATCCTATGCAAATGTTTCAAGATGCCAACTTTGATAAAGATATTTTCACTATTATTGTTGTTTATGTAGTACTGTGACAAAACGGACGAACTTTGCAGTCTATCACTCAAGTAGACTTTATCAAAGCAGATATGGGATTTAGTAGTTGCGACTATATTTCAGTGTTTAAAGATAAAGTGTCATCCTGAGGATCCAGATAACATTCCAAGAACATTTCCTATTGTCAAGAAGATTATTCTGTGCTTATCCAGAGACAGAAGTTCTTTAAAACTTGTCGTTTTAGAGTTTATTTGTGAAATAGCTCTTCAGATATTTGTTGTTGTTCTTTAGAAATTTTTATGTAGCGAAGACTACCTCTTTTCACGGAAGCAAGAGAAGAAGATGTAACTTTTAATGAGATGAGGTTGCGTCATTTCTGACGTCCTGAAAGCCAAGCTTTTTTACATTGCTTTGAAAAATAGATAATTTGAAACGATTCCAAAAATTCAAGCTTTCTTTTGACTGAAACAGAATATTTTGCTTTTTAAAATCGTCTTTTCAGTTGAGTTTTTTTTATTTAAATATAAAATGTAGAAATAAATGTCGAATATAAAACCTTAGCTGAACTTTAGAAGTTCATAAATACCTGATTAGTAAAAAAGGTTAAATTACCCTTATATTTTAAAAATTTAACTTTATTTAATTAATCGATGAACAAATTATTTCTATCCTTAAAAATAAAAAGTTTAAAATTAAAATGTTTTTACACAGATTGATTCATCCTGTTTGGTTCAATGCGTTTACAGATTCGGCATTTATCTTGAAATTTATATTAATTTTATTATAATGAAGATACTTTATATTAACATAGCTATTTATGAGGAATTTCTTTTTTTTTCAAACGAAGTAAATTTTAAATTCTCTTTTTAGAATTATGTCACCTAAGAATGTACAGGCTATTCAAATTTTTAAATGTAATTCCTTACTTAAATTTTCAAATATAATGAATAGTACTTAAATACTTAAATTTTTAAATATAATGAGTAATACTTAAATACTTAAATTTTTAAATATAATTCTCAGCATTTTTCGATTTTAATGAAAGTTATCGCTGCATTTAATATTTATATTTTTTATGCATTTTACCAAAAGAAAGATTCAGAAGATGAGTACTTTTAAAAGGAGAAATTATTGAAACCAATTTAAAATATTTAGTCGCAAATCAGCTATTTAAAAATATTTAGTTGCAATTTAATTTATTTGCTGAAATTCAAAATAAGTTAAAATTCAAATTAAATTCCAAAAAAGAATATTACACATGTAAAATTAAATGTAAAATGAATCCTTAATTAAATTCTTATTTTATAGATGCACACTAAAACGTACTTAATTTTTTTTAATTAATGAATATGTAATGTTTACATTCTACGAAACAATTACGCAATGGAATAATGGAATTACACAATGGAAGAATTTGGAATATTTTATGTTTGGAGTTTTGCTTAATGTGTTATTGTTATTGGAATTCTTATTTAATGAAAACAATTTAAATTGACTTAAAAATTTCGGTTATTTAGTTATTGAAACAGTGCAATGCTAACCCTTTTTATTGTATATTTTGTTCCTCTGATTAAAATTGTAAAATCCTCAAATTATGATTAAAGGATAAAGTTGCTATCAGATCCATTAAGATTTCATAAAAATTGCATTAATGCGTCTCTTTTGAAAATAAAATATGAATAATAACACTTATTAATTTATATATATAAAATAAAGCAATATAAATACGTAGTATTTGTTTGTCCATATTACAGTCTCCTCCTCTTGCTATTCCGTATTTACAGATACTTGTAAATAGTTGCTGGATACCGGTGAACAAGTGTTCATATATATAATATATAGCTATGTTTGAATTATTGATATTTCTTAGTCGTAGTTTTGCTCAATAATTAAAATTAAAGTTTTACCTTTTCACTTCCTTGGAAGTAGCCCAAGAAATTTTTAACAGCAAACTCTGTCTTTAACTTCTTCATTTATTATCATTTTAGCTGCTCATCAAAAAGGTTATTTTTTATTAAGTTTGGCTTTAAAATGTTATATATGTATATATGTATTCTAAACACTCGCAATTTGTACATAGTACTCTTCAGCTAGAAAATTTTCCGCCATTTTGAATTTCAATATATAAATTCAGTATGTCCGTTATTGCATTTGATTTTAACAAAACAAATATATCAGATATGGCAAAATGGATATCTGTAATTTAAAAATTTATAACCATAAAAATACGTCAAATAAGGAATGAAATCATTAATGTTATTTATCTTGAATTATACAAATCAAAATCTTCCTTTATTTTGGCTATTTTTTTCTAAATATTCTATCGTCTGTTTTAAATCAAGTCAAATATCCTTCAAAGTTATTATATTTATATTTACTACTCTAGAATTTATTTTACAGAAATACAGTTTTAATCATTATAATAAGCCGATTAATTTGCAAAAAAGTTTAAAGATGATAATTTTGGTTCATTCTTTTTCAAATAATAATATTCATTAAGATTATTAATTTACAGTATTTTTTATGAATTTCTAGACATTTAAATGCATCAGCTGGTTTATTTATTCGAACTAATATTTTATATTAATTAAGTATATTAGTACATTAAAGAAAGATTCGAAAAATATATTTTGGTGCGCATTGAAATCTCAGTTTGATTGTTTTGGGTGGACCAAAAATTACGTTTTCATACAAAAAACTTGGGATTTCAAGGCATTCCAAAAAACAAACGATTATGCTCAAAATGTACTTTAACTATTTATAATTGTTGTATTTCTGACTAAGAGCTCTTTGTGTTTAGAGCCTCATTAACTGAAGCTGCTAGAAATTTTGAAGAAACATTTGACATGTATAATAAAATTTCTCATATTATGTTCAAATGGCTGACTTTTCTATCTCTCTTTTTTTTTTTTCACTTAATTTTATTAATTCACTAGTTAAGACTGCTTATAGTAGTTAACGACTATTCAGCTTATACATAACGGTTCATTCAAAGATGTAATTCGAAACATTTCAACTTAAAATCGCCTTTTAAATGAATGATATAACGGAAAATTTACTCCTAAATATTAAAAGTAGAGTCTCTTTAAAACGACATATAACCGGCTTTATTAAGCATTACTAAATATAGAATAAAAATATTTGGTTCTTTAATTTTTGCATACTAAAATTTAAATATCACAATCTTACTTTACGAAGTCGCTTAAAAGGCTGTAAAAAGTATTTTTAAAAAATCTAATTTTCCTTCACTCAGCTTTTTTGGCCATTGTAAGGACAAAGTCTTTCAGCAAAATTGATAAAATTATATTGCAGGTTTTAGTGAATAATTTGAAATTATATTAACATTTCATGCATTATCTTCAAAATTTCGGACTTAAGAGATCTCAAAATTAATATTTATCGATGAAAGAATAAAGAAACACAAACAATAGGCATTATGAGGAACTATTTTTTTACTCAAATAATATTTATGTTAAAAGTAATAACTTATGTTGAGTATTTATTAAAACAAATTAAAAAAATTAATCTTTAAGCTTTTATGGCATTAAAAAGATATGTTATGCAAACCAAAAGTATTAATAACTGAACAAATATATTTGTATTATTAATTTATTACCAGTTAAACCAATTAAACTTTCACTTCTATTTTCACACAATTTCTCAAATTAAATTTATGAAAAATTTAATTATATTTACTTGAATATTAATTAGATATAGTACTTGTTTATTTTAAATTTTAGAGAAAATATAGGAATGCAATAATTTCCAGCGTGTACAAAATAATTTTATGAATAATACACTTTTCAAATTAAGA